AGTCACCTACTGAAATAAAAAAATCCTGCACTTGTGCTTCACTGTTTTTACATATCTCTTCTCTTGCAGGTATGTCTTCATTGTCTGCTTTATTTAAAAAGACTTCCAGGTTAACTTCAACTTCCTTTCAGCACACTAAGAAAGCTTAGCGCCGTCTTAATCCATCCACAGCCATATGGCACATCCATCTACGGGGAGTGTTCATGACAGGTGGACATCATCCAAAGAGCCAAAGACAACAGTGATTTTCTTTGGGCTCCCTTTAAAGCCGCTGCATGTTATTGTTGTCAGTGGATAAAAAATATGTTCTGTGATTGCACTGCAGAGACAATGGGATCTTTTTAAGGAAAAAAACATATTTAATGATGACTGTGGAAAACATGTCGTAAACAGTAACAGAAGTGGGAGAGCTTAGAGTTTTTGTTGTGGGAATATCAATCTTACCTCCCGCCTGTTTGACTGTGGATTTAGAGTTTCGGAACAATGAAATGCCTCAAATGGCTTTTGCTGCAAACATTTTTTTGGGGCATAATGAGAAAGTGTTCTCCATCCCACCAAGTTTGAAGCTATAAATATAGCATTTACCTATTGCACTGGTCCACCTGCTGGTTAGGGTTCAGAATAACAATTCTGAAATATGAATAATTCATGGACATCTGTAAGGTGGGAAACTTCAGAGCAAGCTAAACAGCAACACAGTGTGAGTCATTTCATTCAAAACATCGAGGCATCACACGACGCTGCCAGATTCACTTTCCTGCTCCTCATCATGAATCATAAAAAAAACAGATGCAGGCAACAAATGTGTGGACTTAAATCTCTGTGTTTTAGAGGCTCTGCCTGAGTTTTTGCAGGCACAACTAAGGTCTTGGCTTGTAACAAATTGGCTCCTATTTGTAACAAAGAAAGCTCTCTTGTCTCATAGGTTCCTCTGGATGTTGTGTTGACAGCCTGCGGCTGTCGACCCCTCCCCCTGTTTGTCCCTATCCTTCTTCCTGCATCTTCCTCTATCCCATTTTTCAAACCTGGCACAGTTTCAGCAGACGGCTGTTCATCATGAGCCAAGTTTTGTCCAAGGAAGTTTTTTTCTTGCCACAGTAACTTGGCTAAACGTTGCTTAGTGCGGCTCATAATGGATTAACATTGGTTCATTGTAATATAGCAATGACTAAGGTCTTTTACCTGCTCTTTGTAAAGTGTCTTTAGATAACACTTTTTATGAATTTTGCACTGTAGCTCAAGCAAACGTTCCTGTTTTAAGTGTTTTTTTTCTACCATTTACTCACTCAAAAAAATCTCAGAAAAAAATCTAAATATGTAAGATCAGTCGTGTCATGTGTGTATGGATGAGTGTGACATTGTGTGTCAAAATTAGGTCCAAATAAAAGAAGCTTGGGGCGCGCCAGGAGCCTAGTGGTTAGTGCATGCACCCCATGAATGGAGGCCAGGGTCCTCCAAGCGGGCAGCCCAGGGTCCCGCATGTCATTCCCCACTTTTTCTCTGTCCCTGATTTCTGACTCTATCCACTATCCTGTATCTAAATAAAAAATTAAAAAAAATGAAGAAAATAGAAGAAGCATCAGAAAGGGAGCTGGTGTGCTCGCTGGCAGCAGTCACATCTTGTGAATGAGAGAAAGCGTGCTCTGGGTCTGCAGCTTCCTTAGCTTCATAGTAGCCAATGAGCCAGGTGTGCTCGATTATCCTAACAACCCCTTTCTCCACTCACATTCTGCAGGCCACATTGAAACACACGGTGCTTCCGATTTGTAAAGTGCCTACACAATCTGACAGTAGACAGTACCTACTATCCGTGCTGTATGCTGTTGCTGCACAGTAAGCTGATATTTGTTCCTACTTTGTCTGATTCATTGTGTGTGGAAGTGGCGTCATTAGCCCGTCTCATATTATTGACATGTTTTTAAAGGCTGCTGTTACCCGCCGCATCCATCCTCGTTTGTTGTGATCAGGAGGCACACGTGAAGTGAAGTTTTACATTTAATTTTTGCACAGCATTGTGGGTGATAAAATACAACTCGTTTCCTGAAAGGATGCATCCGAAGCATACTGCACAAAAACCCAGAAGTTAGTATCCATTCTGAAATGTTCAATCTACTGAGGTGGACCCAAATAATGCCCACTGAATGACCACGACCACCCTACTGAAAAGTCAGCACTCCATACTGAACTGTGGCTTTTCCAAAAGGGTTAGTAACACAGGGTTAGTAAAAACTACACTACAGCCTCAGGGTTGTCGCCTGGCTCTATGAGGAGGATGGTAGTTTATGAAGTAGTAAAGTTACGAGTTATACTTTAAGCCTCCCTTTAATAATTCATAACAACACTGATTCTTTTCTTCTTTCTGTATTGTTTTTTTTCTATTTTGTGTGTTAAGTCATCTTATCAACAACCCAAAGTATGTCCTTCACATTTACAATAACAAATCCAATCAAACAAATCAACTTAATCCTGCAAATAACATGTTGAGTTTTAATAAAGAAGTAAAGGAGTCCGGAAAGTAACTTGGAGCAGAGCTTCCTGAACACAGACAGTGTCTCTCTGTAGCTGTAAGCCCAGGTGGCAGCATGTTGGAGGTGGGAGGAACAGCCTCTTAGCGCTCGAGATATATGTCTGTGTTTACACTACCCACCAATAGACTCCCTCTGCTTTAATACAAAGACATTATCCACTTAATGTCTTCGAAGGTGGCTGCTAAGTCCTTCTGATTAAATTCAAACCCAGTGGGAGTAAAGTACGATACCCAGGAGTGTGCGCAGGCAGCCTTCTCGCAATATGAACCTGACAAGGTGAGCGAAACGACTTAATATTCTGAGCGCATTGCAGAGGAGAAATTGCATAATCTATCATACATTAGGTAGTAAATAAAATTCCACTGTGAGGCATTCGCTGAATTGTAGGACAATAATGCGAGAAAGAAATCCTTGCTCGTCATCCCAGGAGGTCTGTCTGCCACACAAACATCTCCCACTTCATATAGATAAGAGAAAGGCACAACACTAACAGCATGGAGGGGACTGGGAGAACTCCGAGAAAAGGAGATTTGTCTAGATTTGAGGTTGAATCTGCTGTCAGACATGTTATATAAGAGCTGGGAAACAATAAAACTAGCCTGCCAAAACTGAGAACAAATAGCATTAACTCAACATCCAATTTTTCTCTCGCAGTCAGGGTCCGAATAAGGTTTGTATACATACTGCTGAGAATGGAGGTACATCATGTTGTATTTCTGCCAAGAGGGGTTTACAAGACCACCAAATTAATCCTGCCAATCTGATTTATAATACTGGTTTATTTTGGGGCTTTTTATGCCTATATTTTAGAGATACAGTAGGACAGTGGATAGAGTCTGAAACCAGAGAAAGAGAGAGAGAGAGAGAGAGAGAGAGAGAGAGCGAGAGTGGGGAATGATATGCGGGAAAGGAGCCACAGGTCAGATTTGAACCCGGGCCGTCCACTTGGAGGGCTACAGCCTCCACACATGGGCTGCACACACTAACCACTAGGCTACAAGCGCTCCATAATACTGGTATTTACCTTTCACTCATATATTCCCCCCACCAACAGGGGGAGCCAAATCGGCCCTGCAAACAGCTTTGATAAAGAGGAGCTGTCGACTTAAATATTTCCTTTATGACCACATTCTTTGAGTATGTTTCACAACAACACAGTAGAAAACAATGCCAAAGGGGGGGCTTAACTATCAATGAAAGACAAAAGAAAAAAACTCACAAAAATAAACAAATTATTTCAAAATTTAAGAGAGAAATAAAGCGGGACCAGACAAAAGAATCAGAATCAGAATCAGATTTATTGGCCAGGTATGCCTACAAACACAAGGAATTTAACTTCGGTGAACTGTGCTCTCTTATGTACAGGTACAACATTAAATATCAGTGATAAACATAATAAGAAAAGATTAATATTTACATGACTAAATATGAAACAGTGCAGTGGTGAATAGTGCAAAAAGATGCTGAAGTAACATGATAATAAGTCAAATGCAGTTATGTGACAGAGGGGTCAATTAAGATGTCAATTACAGTATTTACATAAATACGTGTGCGTAGATATATATATACATATATATATATATATATATATATATATAGATGGTTTGTTTTAGAGTCATTTCACCGCAAAAGTACAGTAAAACATGCATATTTCAAAATAGACCGCGTTAAAGTGTTTAGTACTGTTTACAGACTATGGTGTTTTCACATCAAACAGTTTTGGGGTCTTTTTGAAGAGGAACTATCCACTACAGAGAGTTCTCTGAGAACTACACACCATGGGGACTTTTCTGTCTGCATTTTGCGCAGCCTTGATGCTGGTTGATATGAATCTTAAAGGGATGTAAGCGGGCCGACAGTTGCTAGAGCAACGTTACTAATGCGACAGCACTGTAAATATTGAGGATCCTGTGGTGGGAGCTGTGTGTTTGTTGTGTGTGATTGGGTTTCTGAATATAACTGAGTGTCAAAGCATTGTCGATCCTTTTGTCTTCCCCCCATTGTTATTGATTTTTAGAGCTTTCACTGACTTTTACTGTTATTTGCTAATGGTTACAGTGGGGTTGGTGGTATTGGATTGGCTCTTGTGTTCGACCAATCATCGAACATTGACGTCACTCAAAGTCCCTCTTATGCAGGATGAGTCATCAGACATTTGAAATGTTTAACAGAAGGACAAAATACAGATATTTTGATGTATAAATATTCATAATGTTTCATTTAAATACATTTGGCAGAAAATAGCTCCCACGTTTGATTTCATTGGGAGTTTAACGTCCAATGTTCGAGGCACACCGGGAGCTCAGCAGGTCACACAGCAGGCAGAGGTGAGGCGAGCTTCACTTTATCTCAGCAGCAAGACAACAACGTGAACAGGATCCATCATGACTTACTCCTCTTGCGTCTTCAGAGGAGACATGATGAAGGACATAATGGAGCTTTGTTTTCTCTCCTCTGCACTGTAGAGTTTACTTGTGATGCTGTCATGACTTTGAGGTGCTGGAGGGAGGAACTCTCTTCGGAGGATTTAACCTCCAGAGTGGCCCGCTCCATTGGGTCTCTGGTCAGGCACATGTGCAGTAAAATCCTGCAGTCTGAAAATCAAGAGCGAAAGCAGCAAGGTGTTAATGGGTCGCTGCAGAAATCCAATGAAAAACACTTGAATAAATTGTTTACTCTCCTTAAGGAAACTTTGTAGGATAAAACATGTAGGTGTTTCTGGTGCTCTAGAATGTGAGTCTTACCTCTGGACAGCTTCTTGTTGATTTTAATTTTGTTGTTGATAAAGTCACTGGTGGTGAAACGCCCATGGCCGGGCAGTAGAGAGTAGAACAGTGCCCCCAGCTGCCAAACAGTGGTGGGGCAGGCCTGATACCTCCTGTAGTCCAACCACTCTGGGGGGGCGTATATGGGTACCTAGTGCACACAAAAACAAAGACAGGGAGGCAAAATAAAAATATGTGAACACTAAAAGAGTTAACTAAATTCTAAACGTCATTATTTAAAGGGGCCATATTTAGAAAAATCACTTTTACAGTGTTTTTGAAGATATATTTGGGTAACCTGAGTGATTACCGTCCCACAAAATGTGAAATAAACCCATCCAGTCCTTTGTTTGTGGTCTGCATAAGTCTTACAACACAGAGGAAAATGCTCCGTTTCAAATTTGCTCTCCTTGTGATGTCACAGTGGGATTCTGGTAAAAAAAAAAATTCTTCCCATCCCCTGATATCTCCACCCATGGACTCCACCCCCAGCCTAGAGCAAAGCTTTTGCGCAGGGTCCACTATTTTTATACTCACTACAGAGGAGTGATGTCTACTGGGAAAACTCAGGGGGGGTCATTACATTTAAAGAGACACACACACCAAAACGGAGCGTTCTGAGAGAGCTGGTTTATACAGGGTCACAAACCTCCTCTGGTGATGGATTCATGTTATATTTTGAAGCACAGCACAGAAGTTTCATTTAGACCACAGGGGACTGTTTGAAAAGTTGGAAAAGGGGAATAATATGTCCTCTTTAAAAGTTTGAAAATGAGAAATGAACAGAAGCAAGATATCATACCACTGAAACGGTAAAATGTCGACGTGGAAAAGCTGCCACAGCCCAAGTCTATGAGGCGCACTCTTGTGGCTTAAGGTCCCGGTGAAAGATATTCTTCGAGTGCATATCGATGGCTTCATCCACCAGCTGCCTCAAGATAATCTGAAATTAAAAGAGATAAGTTTTCAAATGAAGTCTGGGGAAATCACCATTTATTACTTCTAAATTATTTTTACACAAATTTAAACTTCAATGGTTCCCTTCATTTGTTGAATCACTAAAGGACGCGAAGGTAATGTAGGCTAACTTTTTGGAATCAAGTTGAAGTTCTGCACTGGAAATAGTGAAGTGTATTCAAGCCATTTTGAAAATGCAAACTTATGAGATGGGCAGAAAGCCGAAGTAGAAGCATGCTTATGACTTACTAGTACTAACACGCTCTTTGCTGGTTAGCATGTTAGGCCCCGTGTCCACTTAGTGTTTTTTCTGAGCGCTAGTTTTTTTTCAATTGTTTTCAATGCGTAGAGAGTGTTCGCAGCAGAAAGAGGCCACCTGGTTCGCCTTTTTTGTGCGGCCACTCACTAGTAGTGTTGTAGTGTTGTAGCGCTCAAGTTGAAAATATTCTAACTTTCAGAAAGGCGCTGTTAATGTCACCGGAAATGTCTTTTGGAAATGCCGTCCATTGTCAACAGACTGTTGTCATAGAGACAGAACAGACGTGGAGCACTTTTCTTCTCAGCTCAAAAACACTTCCGAGTGTACAGCCAGCGCTATTCTGCCCGGAAAAAATGCTAGGTGGCCTTAGCTGTTAGCTCATTCAGCCCTGTAAATACTTCTGGTGTCAACTAGCAGCACTACTGTGAATTCATGTCTTTGTGCTTCTTCCTGTTGTGACCACGCTTTATAATATGCACGTGAATGTAGACAAACTAACTTAAAGCGTGAGATATAACTTACCAGCTGTAGTTTGAAATGGACCAAATAAGCTAGCAGATCCAAACTCCTTCGCCCAGATATATGCTAATACCTTTGCCTCATGCTCATCCAGGGATCCTCCGCTTGCTTGAAGATACTTTAGGAGGTCATTGCAGGGCGTAGGTTTTTCCATCATCAGTATCAACTCGCTGTCCAGAGTGTACCAGTCGAGAAGGGACACTGCAGTGGACCGTCCGACATCTCCTTGGAGACCTGCAGCTTTAAGCATGAGGGCCACCTCCAGAATGATGTCATACATCTTTCCATTGCACATCTGAAGAAAAGAAATGCATACAGGAAGATGTAATCCATCCCAAAATCTTTGAGAAGGGTAAGGAAGAAAATGACCCATCCTCTATGAGATAAGAGTTGATATGAACAGTGGTAGGGAATGTAATAAGTATTGAAAAGTTGGGTTTATGTTGCTGTTCATTAAGAGATCAAATTACTCACCACTTGCTGACGCTTTACGTTCTTTTGATCAATGTGTTTGATGGCAACCTGCAAGACAGAGATCGACGTCATTTGGTTTATACTTTCTGAGGATCAGTGAGAAGTTACTGGAGAATATTAGAGAATGTGTTTGTATGACTTACTGGAAAACGGTCAGATTTACGGATGCCACTGTACACTGAGCCGAAGCCTCCTGTGCCGATTGGAGCCACCTCTTTGTATTTGAACTCAAACATTGCAAAAAAATTTTTACATCTAAATACTTTATTACTTTTGTACTTTTCCTATTTTTTCATACGCTTATTATTTAAAGAATAAAAACAATTGAGATTCCTCTCCATGTTGTGGACTGAAAATAAGGAAAATACAACAACCTGTCATACATTGTTCTTGAATCACTGCCCACACATGAATAAAAAAAAAAAAAGGAACTGTGTGTTAAAATTTTGAGGTATTTCTGTATTTGAAATTTTATTTTAGGCAACACTTCTATTAAAGTACATTTAAAAAATCTATATGAATATAATCACAGTACAGGATAGCCTACCATGGAAGATAAGGTATTCAAAAAAGCAACACAACATGACTCTTCACACTTTGGTTTTCTCCAGAGGCCAGAGACATGAAGTCTTGAGAAAATCCAGGAAACAATCCTGCTGTTGAACTTTCAGAAACGATAATATGAAGTTTTGAAAACTTTCACATAGCTGTGAGTCTGATACGATGTGTACTGATACTGAGTGTGTCTTCAGCCTGAACTCAAAGACTCTGTTGCTCCCAGAATGAGCGGACACACTTTGACAAATCACAATGGTTAAAACTCCAGAATCAAGATTATTCAAATGAGCATTCTGAAAGTTCATCCACACAGGATTTGTTCACTTTCAAAATGTTCATTTGTAATTACATTTCTTCAGAAGAAATAAGGTGATTATGTTACATCCATTAAGCAGTGTTTGACCTTTCTACCAAAGTAGAAGGTAGAAAATATAACATAGAGAATATTTTGGGGTGTTATGGAGACATGTGTTAATCTAATGTGCGTGACACATATTACATGTCACTTTTCATCACTTCTGAGTGTAAAAAGTTTGTACAGTTTTCAAGTACTTCCAGCCTCTGTTCAAAGTGAAGATTCAAATTTACTTTGGCAAAGAGCGACATAACAAGTGGTCAAGGTCCTTGGGACTTTATCATGACAGGAGGCCTGGGTTAGCAAAGCTGAGTGAATGTATGTATATATATGCACATAATTTATAATCTTTATAAAGGGTTGCTATGCCATATATTTATGCTTAATCTTGTTCTTGTTTAGGGGAGATGATGCGTTTTTTAAGGATCTATATGTATTAGTAATCCCATTTTAATCCACTAAATCACAGAGGCTTATTTTGGACTTTAGTACTCAGTAATCGTCTTGAGCTTTAAGAAATGTACACATTACTATTTAATAACATCATTCCTGTTCATTGGAGAAAAAAAAATCTTAAAATTTGATGATCTTTTCTTTTAATGTCATCCGACACAGTAACATTTCCAAGAGCTTATATTGATAAAGTATCAATCAGATGAACAACGGTCGTGTTTCAGCACAAGGCCTTCATCAGCGTTGACATCAGACGTCAGACAATGTAGTGTGCTGACTTTTCTGTTTCTCTTTAGTCTTGTTGCGGTGCACCTGAAAACTTGCATGATGGTGGAGTGTGCCCCTTATTTGCTGTTTTGAGTCTAAAAGTAAGTGCTTGACATATATTGTAAGTTGGAAAAGTTAATACTGTCCCTTTGATGCTCACGTTATCTGGTGACATAGTGGATCATTGTCTCATAGGACAGGGTATGGAAAGACCATTTTAGCATTTGGTTTGCCATTTCAGTGCTTCAAAATACTGACATAAACCCTACAAATGCAAAAACCAGCCCAACCCCATCAGTGGCTGGTTCAAGGATTGCTCAGATGAGCCGGAGTCACATTGAATCTTGTACCACCTTATTCTGACACATTCAGATTGATCAAAGACACAGATCTCACCTAAATGTTAAGTCAAAGTCTTGCAATTAACCCTGACAAAGAGACACCTTCAAGACTAATTCTCATTAATTTTGAGGGCAGGAAAAGCCCTTTGATCTCGAGTCATTTAACATTTTTAATGAAATTACCTTTGTAGAAGAGGACTCCGTTATATGAAGTCTTGGACGTAACAATCGCTTCTCAGATCAGGAGTTGATACTATAATCGGTTCTGTGTTTCCTCTAAAGATCAGATTTATATATGACAGGTATCAAAACAATGAGAAAGACGGCCAACAGTATTGCATATATCCGGATGATGGATGGCATAAACAACCCTACTCTTCATTAAATACATTTCACATTCAGCTTTGGAACTGAATCATATCCAGACCTCACATTATGCTAAGTCTGGCAATAACTGCTGACTTAGTTTAAACACCTGGGCACATTAATATATGATCATCGAATTTCCATATAGCTTACATTGCACCTCCATTCAGCAGGCTTGGACCGTTTATTCTCAAAGCAAAGCTGAGAGCTCACAGTGTCACTTGTTGCTCAGTAATGGACTTTTTAACAATGTTATTAGGGATCTTTAGGCTGTGTTTGTTGGGAGGGAATATTTGGCCCCCAGAACTCATAACCAGAAGAACTCTAGAATATATTATGTTATAAATAAAACAAGGTAAACACGGAATGCATCAAGACTACAAGTATCCTCTGAAGATCTGTTGTCCGATTGGGTTACAAGGATGGATCATAGACTGCTGTGAACAAAAAAGAAAACTTCAGCTAAGTTGCTCTGTCTAAAATTCCCCGACTCCACTTCTTTCATTGTGGCCATCCAATCTTAAAAGAGCAATTTAGCCTTTCACCTGCACGATGCTGGGGGGACTAACAGGATGCGGACTGAAGCATGACGAATGACAGCCTTACTCCAAATGATTTTTCAAGCGATTTCACTCTCCCAGATACATTTTGAATGTCAGAATCAAAAAATTGAACGTCTTGGCAAACTCCTGAACTTTCATCTTACTATGTCAGATGGTTTTAAACGTCAGTTAGAGCTGTGTTAATGGTGTCAGTTACTTGAGGTAATATTGCCATAAAACCTTTTCACTATTGTCATAATGGCTTTGCTTTCAGTTTGCTCATTTCAACATTGGTCGGTGTTCTCATCCTTGCACTAAAGATGAAGCAGCAAACCAAAGAAGATGGTTTCAATGGAGGGGACTTGAGATAGTTGGAAGTTGCTCGCTGTTAGGACTGCTGAAATCAAGCAGTGAGAGGTGTTTGTAGGGCTTGACGTGAACCTTTTTGCTCAGCAGCCTCTGTCCATAGTGGTTTTCCAAAGTTACTAACCATTCAGCATTTTTATTAGTCATTTTAATTGTTAATCGTCTGCTTGTCTGTCTGAAGAGATTGCAAAAATGTATTTTGGGCGATCATGTTATGGCACACTTATTCATATTAGCACCTGTGATCATATAAAGAAACGCACAGTGTCATGAATCAACTTTCTTCTCATTACTTCGGGGTCTATCTTCTTACCCTCACTGCTGTTTTGGAACCATCAGAAGAGACCGAGTTGATTTGTTCCTGCAAGGATATTAATGCTCTGACATTTCTCCTGATGTCATGGAGTGCGTAGAGATTGAGAGTCAGGCCAGATAGAGCGAGAGTGAGTGAGAGAGAGAGATTGAATCAAGCAGAGCTGAGGGAGAGGAAATAGGAAGATAATCGGGAGATATTAGCAATCAGGAGTACAGTGGGAGAAAGGGTTCAAATTAGGGACTCCCACTCAAACTGCAAGAGTTTGCAGGCCTGCAGATGCCTTTTAGAAATCCAGCCCAAACCAAAAACTTTTAGAATTCAGGTTTTAAGTTGTTTAAATGACAGAAATCTGTTCAGATGAGATCTTAATGAGTGCAAAACGAAAGCATGTATTAGCCAATAAAAGAAAACAGTGTTTTTATTAGGAGTCGAGTGTATCTGTACACTTGGCTGTGGATCTCTGTGGATCTGTGTCTCTACATGTGTTGTTGTGCCTGCTACTGAGCGTATCTGCACACCGGCTGTCTTGTTAGCCTCAAGGAAAGGGGGGTGGGGCGGATCCTGACCCCGAAACGGACTGTGGGCCGAGTCAGGCCCGGGCTTGATCAGAGAATCTAACCTTTGAATCCTTTTGAGATTAATACAATTAAAAATATAAATATAAAATTTTACCCGAACCAAAGTGGCCAGTGGGAGTGACCTACACGCCACTGCTGAAATCCACCTGCCAAATGTCCAGCCCTGTTTGTAGGGAGGAGGAAAACTGTGCTAGTGGTCTTGTAGTTACTAAGACTAATAGGCTCCAGCAGCCACTAGCTGTGTTGTAGTCATGGAAATAGTAACAGTGCAAGATAAAACAACCTGAATGTTTTTAACATGTTTTTCATTCAATACCAAATTCCTGTCTTCTAAAAGGTTTCCACATTTCTTTTTTTATTCTTCTCATGTTTTTTTCGCCATGAGAGACAAAAACCCTTGTTCATCCCAGTGTTTACCTACCCTAAACCTGCCTGGTTGAAGTGTGATGCTAATTCTGGGCGCTTTATATTTCACTTTGGTGGGTTCGTCTGGAGAGGTGAAAACATGTCAATCGAAGCGGGCCAGACAGAAAAACACTCGACAGTCTCGGCCTCTGTCCAGCTGAGCCCTGAAGCGGTTCATTTGAGGTAAGACCGCAGCGAGGAGCCAGGCACACAGCCAGGGAATCATGTTTAATGAAGCTTAGTGCAAGGTTTCTTTGTCTCCCCAGCACAAAATGATGTTGTCATGATTTGAGTTTTCTTAATCTGTCTGTCTGTCCGTGGGTGGACACAATCTGTAAAAAAAATACAAGTATTTCTACTTTATTCTTCCATCATGGAGGTTGTATTACATCCCAGGGCTCCTATTAATAACGTCTAGGAAACACTTTAATACAGAACATGTGTTGTAATAAAACATGCACTAATACATATAATCTGTTATTAATGACTTCATCAGTATAAATTGTTCTCTGGCATATATCTGGGTGATTACCGAAGAGCGAAAGTCGACTAAAGTCATTCCTGGTTTAAGCTTCTAACCCAGTTTATTACATGTGTTCAAAAGCATCTTTTCAACTAAGCCTTATGTGTTCGGTTGATGAGATGATCTACTAAACTTACAGCGACGCATGTCTTTCATTTGAAACTAAGAATTTAGATTTCAGTCAGGTTTTTTTTAAATCTGGCTTGGTCCTCTTGTTCCATGTCAGACGATTTTTCAACTTTATTACCTTTTCAATTAGCATTTGGAGAGCTTCTAAAAGATTCACCCAAGTTTTAGTAGTATTCTGCACTTCACTATGCTCGTGGAAAAAACATAATTGACACAGAAAGCTGGCATTAAACAGAAGTTTTCAAATGGTAAATGGACTGTACTTATGTAGAGCCTTTCTAATCTGCTCACTCAAAGTGCTTTTAGATTAATGTCATGTTTACCCATTCAATTACAACTGGCAGAGAATGCTATGTTAATTATCAATCATTAACTCATCCCATTCACACCCATTCAAACCTGCTGGATTTACCATTTAGGACGATTTGGGGTTCAGTGTCTTGCCCACTGACAATGTGAGATTGGATCTCAGACCTCAAAAACCAAACGAAATTGGGGCCGTCTCAAGACAAAGGTAGGCAGAGTGCTGCCTTTCACCCTGAATGTTCTGAATGTAGCCCCTCAGATGATGTTAAATAAATAAAGTATACTGCCACATTGTCAACATCCCTGCTCTGCCCCGCTCACAAATACTACTCCCTCTCTCCCCCACTCTCTCACTCCGCTTTGCCCGACCCTGATAACACCAGGTGAGGTGACGGAGCGCTCAGGTCGGCTACAGGGGGAGCTCTAACTATGGATAAAAAGGAGGGTCAGAAGGACTCCTCATTAAAAGTTGTTTATAACAGGACGTAGCCTACATTTCTCTTCACCAAGATCGTTGGTTCCACTGTTTAATACCCGTGTGATGACTTCATTCCTATATGTTATACAGACAGACAGGAACAAAGTGTGTGATGGAGGAAAATCACCCACAGGAGAGTGATCAATTGGTATCTGGTATATTCATTCATTTTATTTACTCACCCTTTTCCTTTTGTTTTGTTTGTCTGTTTGTTTTTGTCTAAATCTGCTTGCAAAAGTCGTACCACAGTTCCCCTCTTGTTTTTTTTTATTGTGTGAGTGTGTGTATGCACGTTTTGGTGAATAAAAGTAAAAAAAATATATATATAAAAAAAAAAATTGGTATGTGGTAAAATATTTCATCATGTCTGTTACTAATGTGGATTGGGCTTAAGAGAGGCCGCATGAACTTCATTAAAAGGTTTAAATATGTTTTGATTTTTTAGGGTAGCATCCTGGCAAAAATGGTTCTTTTGATGGAAAAGGTTGCCAAACCCCATTCCAGGCAAACAGATAGTTAAAACTGTAACAGCTATATGGGACAATGAGCTGTCAAAGGAAACGTGAAGCTGAATTACAAAGCAGTAAAAATAGTCATCAATGAGAGGTTTTCCAAAAGGTATTGTAGTTTTTGTACGGAGAAGCAGAAGCAATTCAAAGATGTATCAATAAAAAAGACAAACAGTCCTTTTGCTTGTTAATGATTTATTCAAAATCATCATGAAAACATAGAAGTAGTTCTCAATATTAGTATAACAAAACAAAGTACAGTACAGCTGTGCAGGCTTCAGGATTATTTTGGCACACAACATTCAATCAGCTACATGTGAGTATAACGCTGGCTGACACAGAAATGGGGCTGATGAGCTGCGATCTCATCACTATGAAGTAGAGACTGTCTCACAATAAGTGGTAAACTCTAAGTCCTAATTAAAGGTAGGCTGCGCCAAACCTTCAGCCGTGTTTAAAAGCAGCACACCAGATCGAAAAAGCTTGAGCTAATTAAGGCTGCCATTATTAATATGGCCCCGCGTTTCACAGTTTCATTAAGAGTGTGTCCAAACAGCTTCCTGGATGAGCCCCAGAACACGGCGTTTCATGTTGTTCAAAGATCCCTTTAACACATCATGAGTCTGTACTCACCTCCTCACTCATCCACTTCTCTTTCCTGAAGAATGAAGCCAGAGCAGTGGGATATAATGAGCGTTAAAAAGTAGTTTTTTTTTTTAAAACATTACAAAGTCAAAGCAGCAGCACCTGCCAGCTGCCACTTCAGGTCCACTCAGCCGCAGAACATGTATAACGCAATGGCTGACACCAGAGTCCACAGAGGATGTGGTTGTATAATTAAAAGTTCTCTTTAGCCACATTCACAGCAACATTAACTTCTCTTTTCATTTGGTCAACAGCTTTGCTGTGTCTTAACTTTTTCTCCCTGAGCTTTCTTAACACTTCACCACACACTAGAGGATGCACACTATCACATCTGTCACGTCCACATTCCACAATGGATTTCACAACGGAGCTAATGAGCTTTTAGGAATCAGAATTTTCTAAAGCTCATCCACTCATCCACTTCAGCAGTGTTTGAATTTGTGTGTTGCCACAGGTTAGATCTACATATTTCAGTTTGGCCATCATTTCTACCTTAAGACATATTAACCATTATCATTGCTGAATCCTAGAAACATGGTCAAGTCAGAAGTTTAAGTTTAAACTGAAAAGGATGTTTGCAACTCATAAACTGCATCCTAAATTATTTGCACATGTATTTGTCCTTTAAATGAAATTTGGCATCCCTGTTTTTTTTATCCAGCTTGATAATAAGACTTGATTCATAGGTTTCAGTCACGTGACTGACGCCGAGACAGCTTCAGAAAGTGGCGGAAAACATTGAAGACTCTGCTGAGCTGCAGCATGGGCTTCTATATTTTCCATCTCTTCTAAAAAAAATGCATGTTTACATCACCTGACAACCCCAAAAGGTAAGATAAACTCTAAGTTTTGTGCTCTTGCTATAATCAACAAGAACTTCACTCCGGTGTTGTTCATATATAACTACTGTTGAGAATGAGCGCCAGAATGAAAGCCAATGAAAGTCAACCGAGATCAAACTGGCAAAAAAACATCAGACGATGAGCGCTGAATGGCATTGGTTTTGTACTAGGATTGACGCTGCCTGTGCAAAAAACAGACTGTTTTCCTTCTCAGATGGAAATCTGTGGAAGTTAAACCAGGGCTGGTCTTCTCGTCATTTAAAACATCCAATTAAACAACTGTCGTCCCTTTAAAAAAATGCTGCATGCATCATGAAGCAGGAGGACGAATCCCTCGCCTGCCAGGTGGGCGGTGCAGTAAGTGTGTGACGTCACATGAAAAGTATGAATTGTTCGTTTGTGTCATTCACTCAGTTTGTAATCTGACTGCAGCAGGGATTCAGAGAACTTCTTTATGACCATGGTACCATGTTAGTGGGTCTCAGCAAAGTTCTTGGTTTCACAGTTGAGTAGATATACAAAGCCAGAAGCTGTAAATGATCTTAAAGTTGTGCCTCGAACATTCAGAGTAAACTTTTGAACTTTACATGGCTTAAAGGGGCAGAAGAACCCGAACACAGACATCAACACGCCCAGTGAATGTGTCAGTGATTTTTGGAAGTTGCTGCATGAATCACATTGATCCAAAATATCTAATTTGTCTGCACTAATAAAACCACTGAGAATGTAAACCTCATTAAGGAGGTCTCTATAGTACACGACTGCAAACCTCTCAGAACTAAAAAACCCAGGAAAAGCACCTCTCTCACATTTAAACCGTTTACATTAATGAAGGTTTGATCTACAGACCACAGACAAACTACGACAAGAACATTGATTTTTAGGAGACTGGGAGTGTTAACGTACTATCACAATACACCAGTAAAAGTGCAAATTTGTTCACAATTAGGCTGGTTTCACATTAGGGACCCGGGCCCAGATCTGAGCACACTTGACCCCAAAGTTCTTTCGTCGAGCATGGTATAAAATAATCGTGCCTTATGTGAAAACGCCCTCAAAAAGCCATTTTTAGTACCAACAATAAAACCATACAAGTGGTCATGTAAACGTGAACTGCACAGATACAGTCAATTAGAAGGGTAAGTATTAATCCCAATGGCACATTTTGATCAATGGAACACAATTAACTGTTCAATTATTAAAAATATATTCAAGTGCAAACATCAGAATTAAACTCATAAACTAAATGTTAACAAGTAATAAAGAAGACTTCTCATGTTTAAGAAGGTTAAACATCACCGTTAGATTATGTTCCGCTTTCATGTGGAGTTATCTTGTGTTTCATCTCCAGAACCATTTAATAGAGGGTTATTCATTTACTGTTAGAATATCAAACCTCTTAACTCATTCATGAACTACTAATACATCAAATCGCCCACAAATGACATAATTACATTTCCTGAGATGAAAGAATACCTCTCTAAAACGCCGCCCGAAATAATGCATTAAACATAAAAACCATTATTCTCCATCGAATGAATATTTAAACAAATCCATTTGTAGTTTCTGAAAGCTTCTGAAATTGACTGCAGTCAGGAGAATTTGATTGTTTCAGGACTCTTTTTTTTGTTTCTCCTTCAGGTATTCCGTCTACATCTAAAATGAAAAATCTAAAAAAAATAAAAATAAAAAAAAAGCTTATTTTTTGTTGCTTATGTGCAAACTAGCATCGGTCAACCACCTGTTTCCTTCATATTAAAGAAGCACATTTCAGCAGTAACCTTGGAGTTTCATGGTCAGTGTGCAATAAAAAGTTACTGTAGTGCCTTTAAACACCTCTCAAGTGGATGACACACCTGCAGGTGAGAACTCCTCCAGGACTCTCGTGCCTCACACAGCCGTGAATCTGGAGCCCACAGATCCAGAGCTGCACATCATGCTGGTCACCAGTGATGACGATCCCTCTGCCTCCAGAGCCTCTGCTCCTATCAGGCCCTGCTGGTGCAAGTTCAGTATGGAGTCGGCGATGATGCGCGCTGTTTTCTTCTGGTATCCCCCGGATGTCACCATAAGTATCGGGATGCCTCGTCGCCTCGCGGCCCTGAACACGATCTCATCTCTCTTTACAATTCCCTGGGAGGGCGAGAGGAGAGAAAAGCGTGAGTTTATCCAAAGCCCATAATGGTTGTAATGTCTCTGAATTCTGTCGAGCTACAGGCTAACATTCCTATCTACGCTCCCTTCCTCCCCCCTGAGAATGATGGAGGTCTTAAGGCGGCCATATCTCACGACTCCACTGTGCAGCACCCGGTCCTTTGGGGTGACACACATGGGAGAAAAGACACACGCACACACGCACACACGCACACACACACACACGCACACACACACACGCACACACGCACACACACACACACACACACACACACACAACTGTTTGCCTTGGGATCAGGAGGGGGGAACAGCTTGCGTAAAAACTCTAATTTATTATGGAGCAATTTGTAACACAAGGACTGGTTTTAATCTTTATTAGCCATGACAGGAACACATGTTCCAACAGAACTTTAAATAACAATAATTAAAGCTGGACTAACTGAGCATTTCTTTGCTTTTGGGTTTAAATTCAATTAAACTCCACTCAAAACTATCTCTGCACCAAATCAGTGCACAGTCCTCACTAACAGATTCACCTTATTTGCAGTAATCACTTTCAGGGATTTGTCGGATCACTGGCAGGACTTCTCTGCACACAGGAAGTCATAAATCCTAGTTTGGCTCATCAGATCAGCTCTCAGTAGGATTCCAAATCTCCTGACAAATACGTTTCATGTAGTTTTCAGATGAACCCAGCTTTGTCATCCTACTTTGCCACTTCTAGCTTTTTACATATTAAAAGAGTAAAGGAGGATGTAAAGTTATCAGTATATTGTAACACTCACGCTGCTTCAGGTCGGGGTCTGTTGTATCGCCGTGCCAGCTGTGAGCCAGACGTTCAACCTTTTTCAGCTGAATACTCTCTTACTATTTAATGCTCATAAGACTCACACTTCAGATCTCAGATTGAGCTGGGACGCCCTGAATCTGCCAGGATCAGTGGAGAGAAGCTAATTTTCAGCCAAGTGAGACTGCTATATTTAGTTTTTTAACAAGTAAAAGTTATCTTCATTTTAAGTTTTATCAGCCTTATAATGTGAGATACACTTTAGTGTGAAATGTTGACCTGCAGCAGCAGAGGGCACCTTGCTTGAACTTTTATCATCAAATAATAATAATTATGTTTGCAATAAAAAATAGTTAATTCTGTCTTGTAAAGAACATGATCATTTCTAAGTATGTGACTTCTGGGGCTTCTGGTGCCAGCCTCAAGCAGACCCATGATGAACTGCAGGACTTTGCTCTTCTGCATTGGCTTTATTTTTCAGCACTGGATGTTGCCGCTTGGCCTAGACTCTATTTTGCCTTGAAGAAGATCCTGTTTGGTCAAAACCTGTCAGGGTTTTTTCTTGTTAGTTAATGTTTTTACCTTGATTTATTAAAGGCATTTGAACTACATCCTTTGCTCTAGTGAGAGTTAAAGATTGCCCTGTGGCTTCCCACCTACTTTAGATAACATCGACAGTATAAGAAAGTCTGACGCAGCAGGTACAGCACCTGTGGAGATATGGAGAGTCCTCCAAGCGGGTCCCCATCCAAGATGTCTGTCCCAGCGTTGTAGACGATGATGTCAGGTCGTACCTCATTCAGCGCTCCCTCTGAGTGAAGTTCCACTTTCTGAAGGTACTCGGAGTCTTCAGTGCCCCAGTCCAGCTCCACCTTCCTCTTTATGGCTCCTGAAGAAAAGGAAAGAACAGAGACAGGAGGGATGCATCATGGACGGACCGAAACACAAAGCTCAAGAATGTTGCCATCAATAAAACAACCAGTACATAATAGTAGAGTATAAATAGTATTACAGCAAATGGGGGGCTGAATTCAGGGAACAGATATATACTGTATGCAGGTTAGTACTTACTACAATGAATGAATTCCAATCAATGTTCAGGAATGTAACAAAGTGCTTCTCTTTAGAATACTCTGACGTGTATATCAACTGCAGTGCTTAATTAATTAGCATGTACATTTCCAATAATTAATGCAAATGATGAAAAAAGGTTAATTTGGAGGCCATTCATGTTAAAAAATTCAAAGAGAATGAAGCTACAGAAGCGAGAAAGAACAGGTTGTCAACTGCTGCTGGTTTTTTCAAGTCTTGTTTGGCTTCTTTCTAAAGACTTGATAGCAAAAAAAAAGTGTCCAAATATGGGATTTTTTTTTGTCTTTGAAGGTACAATAAAATAAAGGTGTCTCGGAGGAAAAACATGAGGTAGAAGTGGACTGTTTTATCTAAAACAAGCCAGAATGTGCGTTTACTTCATGTTCTCAAGGCCGGATGATTACAAAATGTTTTCAGTTCAATTAAATGCAGTAAAGAAGACGACAACCAAAGGATAGAGATAATTTTAAAGGTCACATATTATCCTCCTTTTAAACAGGTTTAAATAAGTCTCAGAGGTCCCCTAATCATGTCTGTGAAGTTTCTTGTTATAAATCCTCTCTGACCCTGTATTTGATAATGCCTATAACCCCCTCTATTTCAGCCCTGCTCAGAACAGGCTGTTTCTGTGTCTGTACCTTTAAATGCAAATGAGCTGTGTCTGACCACGCCCCCTCTCTGGAAGGACTTGGGTGTCTTGGGCACCATGCCTCATTGTTTTCAGTAAGAAGGCAGACTCAGAGGGCAGAACAAACACCTAGCTGTGGGAGTGTCACCCACCTGTGGGAGGGGTTACTGCCCTTTGTGATGTCACAAAGGGAAAATCTCCAAACATCCTGTTTGAACACACGTTTTCTGAAAAGTGGAGCAGGCAAACAACAGAGAGGATGGACTTTTCTCATAATTGAGGCTTTATAGACAGCCTAGGGACACATATTAGTGTTGGAAAAACAGGTTTTATGCCTGATATGTGACCTTTAAAGACAGGACTGTAACATTTCAACTCCAGAGGGAAGGTTAGAAGTGGGGTTACAACGTGTGTGGTTGCTGTCAGATGAGCGTTAACGTATTGGCATATTCATTTGTGTAAAAGCTTTGATTATTGTGTTGCATAGATTGCTGCATGACGGATCTCCTGCTGAATGCCAACAGAGTGAGTGGTCGTGGATTGGTGGAGCAGCGGGACGAACAGCAGAATCAAAAGGCAATGTCATCAACCGAGCCCGACCTCCAGCCGAGCATCAGGAGCAGGAGTTTACCATCGATACTGCTTTCCACTCACTTTTGGCAAACGTGTCCCCGGGATAAATGTATCGGTTATACATATCCATGATGAACACTCTCTTGTCCTCCAAGAAGTCTCGCTCATGTCCATTTCCCTACAACAGAGCAGATTTATTACAAACGTTATAAGCAAGCCCTTTGGCGCTGTCTCTGCTTCTTAAAAAGTAATCCAACTATGACAAACTGGATTAAGGAATTGGTTTTTCACCCTTCATGTATCCTCATTTATGTGTTATACAAAAGCAGTTCATAACTCACAGCAGTTTGACACTCGACTACATATTACATGACAGAGCCAAGGCCGCGCAAGTGTCACTCAGACACACTTGTTCACCTGAGATACACTAACATGAGTGACAGCAGCAGGTCAGGGATAAACAGTCTTGTCGCCTTCATGCATTTAATGGTGAAAACACTTCTAAAGAGTCATTGCTACGCCATCATTTTTCATTTTCCTGCCCTCCTTTTGTCACCCGAAGAGTCGGGCTGCTGTCAGGAGGAGATTAGGCTCCGTGCCAAGTTTAGTATTACTTGATGAAAAGGACGATCTATGGACATGTAGAACGATTTGGTGTCGGCTGTACATCATTCCCCCTGAGACTGTGTAAATCCATTGTTAAAGCACATAGTTTCTAATGTGCTGCTTCTCTTACAAACCTAAGTACAGATCAAGTTGCTAAGCTGTGCATCTTTATAAAATGAGATACCAAAAACTTTTGGGACCTTTAGGCATCCGTGTCCAACAAGCGTTTTTTTTTTCCAGGGCAAAAAAAAAAAACACTGGCTGTGCGCTCGGGAGTGCTAGCAGGAAGCATTTGTGAGCTGAGAAGAATAGCGCTGCACGTCCTGTCTCTATGACAACAGTGTGTTTGTCAAGGGCCGCAGTATGACAGACACCGTTACTTTTTACAGTATTTTTTTTGACTTGAGATCATTCATTTTCGATCAGACACGGAGCAAAGAGGATGTGGGTCCAAGACACGTTTCTTCAACAGCGTCTTTCTGAAAAGTTGAAAGATTTTCAACTTCAACGCTCGGAGCGGCCGCACCAACAAGGTGGATCGCTGGGCGCTGAGCTTTCCTCTAGACGTTTTCTGCTGCAAACGCTATCTCCTCATTGGAAACATGGGAACTTAAATCTACCTGAGCTCAACAAAGCAGACTTTCATTAATACCACATAGCAAAATCTGACTTGAAAAATGCACAAGGTCAAATATTGATTCTGGCATCATTGGTCATTTATAATTGGATGAGCCTGACATGCATTAGTCTAATAAAGTTGATCTACATACTACAAGTGTTGCTGCAGCTTTCTGACCTCTTAAAGCCTTCTTGCACTCTCCATGCACCTGGCAGTTGGTGAAGTTGTACCAGAAAATCCCAATCTGCTTCTTCAATGGCATAATTTGTAAAGAATAATCTGAAAAGAAGGATGCTGATTTTTTTACAAATCCCATCCTGTCTGAAGGTCCTATTTTTATTGTGCTGGCATAAAAAGAAATAGGGCTTGTCACCAAGCACACCTGAGAGCTGGGTGAAGGGGGTTAAGTGGAGTACAAGTCAAAGGTCTCACAGGTCTCATTTTGATTGAAACAGACGAGCCAATCACAGTGACACATGACGACAACAGATTAACAAATGGAAGGAGGCTTCTCCAGGAAATCACATTGTTATCTGGATGGAGGAGAGGAATATCATGAGGACACAGAGCACCAGAGGGGATTTCCTTCAGTAATTAGTGAGTAAAATAACAACATAAATAAATAACTTGACAGAATCATTTAAAGGTCCCATATTCTGCTTTTTCTGGTTTTATATGCCCTTTAGTGTGTTTTCCAAGTGTCCTGTGCATGTTTAGGAACATCTATGTGCAAAAATTCAAGCATTAGCCGCATGTAACGCTCGGTTCTAGCCCCCCTCGATAAAAATCTGTCAGTGCGACATCATTGTCAGTGTGAGATCACTGATCTAAGCCCATTGGCTCGTTGTGGCAAGCCCAGCAGCTCATGTTGAAATTTCCAAGAAGCGTGCTGAGCAACTGACCAATAACGACAGAGAGGATCGGCAGACCAATCAGAGCAGACTTGGCCCACGTGGGGTCTAACAGTGTGGGCTCAACAGAGTGTAGCTGACGGACTCAGAGCGTAGAGGGAGCAAGGAGGAGCAGGACATGAAAACAGACACTTTTTTCTGACTTTATCTATTGTGAACGTACAAAAGTATCTACATAGATTAAATATACAAACCCAAAAAGGGCATAATATGGCTCTTTAACACAGATTTTGATATGAATGCCCTGAATGTTAACTATACTGTTTCTGGATGTTAATAGAGTTAAATAATATCTTCAGAGGTGTCAGGCAACACTTTCTTTGAAATGCTTTTGATACACAGCTGAATTTATCTTTTAAAAAAGTGTGAAGGGGATCAAACATGCAGCATACTGAGTTAAAGTAAACCCTTTTCATGTGCTTGATTATTCTGTAGCAGCCTGCTGTCATTAACACATGATTTATTGACGGTAAACACGGTGAGAAGATTGTGGGGTAATGGCACTGATCTATGACACAGTGCCTCTCCACTCCCGAGGCTGCAGATTTATCAAGACATGTGTCCTACAGCCTGCAAAGGCCTGCAGGGATTTAAATACGCTGAAGAAGTTTTCATTCCTCAGAAGCAGCTGGGAGATACTGATAATGTTAGAAATGCTTATTTTCATTCACAGACAAATGCACAAACATTAACCAGAATTTCTGCTTTATTTACATTTTGTTGCCAATTTAAACACATCCACTGGCTTGAATCTTTATGAAAGTAGTTTATTTAAATATAACTCGTCAGAGAAAATGTTCAAATTATGGAAACACTGCTTGTGCTGCTTCTTGTGCTGTAATGAAACTAGGGCCACAGAATTGGTGCTTAGATTTTCTTACTTCCTGTATCAATCAATACGCTAGTTTCATTATTATCTTTCTAGTTTAACCACAGGCCCATTCTGTAGAAACATGGTGTAGAAAAAAAAGGGCAAAATCAACAACAAACCTTTTTTATCTCAGTGGTGGTACAGACCAAATTATTTTTGTTCTGTACCACAGTGTCAGAGAAGCACATCGATGGACCAACTGACTATAGCATTAACACACTCATCTATTAGTGTACTGCTCGTTTAGTAAAGGGGGGGAAAAGGATTTCAATGGGCATTTAACAACACATTATTTTTGTTAAAAAAATGTTTACAGGTTTATTTTTGGGCTTTTTATGCCTTTATTATAGACAGATCAGTGGATTGAGTCAGAGACCAGAGAGAGAGACAGAAGTTGACATGCAGGAAAGGAGCCACAAGTTAGATTCAAACCCGGGTCGCTCGCTTGGAGGATATAACCTCTGTACATGGGAAGTGCGAACTAACCACTAGCGACCCATTACTTTTGTTAAATGGTAAACGGACTTGAGCTTGTACAGCGCTTTTCTAGTCTTCAGACTACTCAAAGCACTTTTACATCGAATGTCACACCTACACATTCACACACTGATTGTAGAGGCTGCCATGTAAAGTGACCATCAGAAGTAACTAATCCCACATCACATTCATACACCGCAGATGAAGCAGCGGGAGCAATTTGGGGTTAAGTGTCTTGCCCAAGGACACATCGGACATGTGGCTGCTGGAGCTGGGGATACCTAACCCTCGACCTTCCGGTTGAGAGACGACCGATACTAGCAACTGAGCCACAGCCCATGGAGCTGGATTCCTGATCGACATCTATCAAATCCCAACACACACGATCTGTTTGTGCTAGAGGGCAACAAGATTATCATTTACCTCCCTTTAATAGTATGTCCTTTATTTAGAGTTGCAACAAGGTCACATCACAGTACACAGGTCGTCAAGTCACCGGTTACTAAAATAAACCTAAAAACTAAAGAAGAACATGGCATTTTTTTTAGGTTAAATAAAAGCAGCGGTTTACTGTATACAGTTTAAAACAGTTGGTTGGAACTACTTGAAAATGCTTCACCGCTGAAGGCTGAGACCGGTGGTACATCTCCAGTGTATATAAAGGGGTAACATTAAGTTTGTACTCTGTGGATTAACCAGAGAACTCATACTGCACTGAAGGCGAATACAAGCTTCCTTGAGACAATGACTAAATCAACATGTGAGTGAATACTGTGCTCCACCGTGCCTTTAAAAGACAGCCTGAGAATATAAATCAGCTCATATGCTGCCTAACCTCCGGCTGCCGGCAGTCTTATTAGTCTTATCCTCTCCCCCACATACTTTACAATAAAAGATTGCTGTTTCAAACCATTTGTTATTGTCAGCCAAAAGCCTGACTTCTGCCTTCGAACAGCGTTTCCTTTTTTTCCTCTGCTCCCTTACCAAGTTCAAACATCTGCACTGAATTTTTGATCCATCCTATTTCTACTTAAAACAGAATCAAACGGGCAGGGGATCTGTAACAGAGTAAGAGGAGGAATATTTGTAGAAAATGTATGTGATCATTAATGGCTGTTATCTAAATGTTAAACATAGAGAACATTTCATTAATAGTGATAATAACACATTTCTAAATCAATGTGTAACGGTGCTCGACAAAGAGACACATCTATGACTGACTGATGGGTTTGACAGTTCAGTATATCAGCTTGCAAATCTTCAGAGACAGTGTGGTCTCACAGAAACCTGCAGGATGAGTAAACATTTTCTGACACCTTTTTAAATGTGGGTGGTCAGTAATCTCTGTGTTCTGATAAACAATGTGAACAAAGTCGCATAAACAAAGCCCATGCAAACTAAATTGACAAGGAGGATTTTTTTATGGGATGGACACAAAAATGTGTGTGAATGGAATTAGTTAATACTGATGGTCACTTTACAGAGCATCCTCCGTCATCAGTGTGTGAATGTGTAGGTGTGACTTGTGCTGTAAAAGTGCTTTGAGTAGTCAGAAGACTAGAAAGGTACTATACAAGCTCAATCCATTTACCATTTATCCAAAAATGTTCCAGAAAGTCAGGTACTGTCGTATAAAGAGAGATAAAGCTTCCTCAGTTTAGCTTATATCACGTTTTCTAGTCTTCGGACTACTCACAATGTGTTTACACCATATGTCACACCTACACATTCACACCATATGTCACACCTACACATTCACACCATATGTCCCACCTACACATTCACACCATATGTCACACCTACACATTCACACCTACACATTCACACCCTCATTACAGAGGCTGATATGTAAAGTGGCCATCAGTATTAGCTAATCCCATTCACACACATTCATACACCGCCGATGATAAAGCAGCGATAGCAACGTGGGGCTATTGCACAAGGACACATCGAACATGTGGCTGCGGCGGTGGGGATTGAACCCTCGACCTTCTGGTTGAGAGACGACTGACTCTATGAACTGAGCCAGGGAAGTGGATGGTCCACACACACACACACACACACACACACACACACACACACACACACACACACACACACACACACACACACACACAGCTAGGAGTAAGCCTCCACAGCAGGGCTCAGTCAAGCTTGTTACAAACTCAACCTCAAATTGATCATTAGTGTTTTGTTGTAGAGCAACACAGCTGTCTAAGCCATCATCTCAATTGATGTGAGGACAAAAGCACTTCAAGTGTCATGTTTCAGGGCTGTAATTAGGACCTAGTGCATATCACCAATACTTCCCTCAGCCTAATTATCTGCTGAGTCGGGTTCTTGAGGCCCATCTCCATGCATTCATGCAGAGCTGCTCTTTTGCTCTTCTTCATGAATTATTTACTCGGCATGTGTATTGATCCCCGGTTTATGTCAACAGGTAAAAGCGCATCATTACCGTTGAGCCATAGCTCAAAAAGTAAAAGCTTTACTTCTGGATTATAGCCATGGACCTCAGGAACCTTGAGACATCATCAGTTTTAAAACAGTTCTCAGGGCTAATTGGAGGGGGATACAAGTCATGATGCTTAAAACCCAAAGTTAGAATAAAATATGATAATCAGACATCCAAAAATGTTGAGTCATTATTCTTCAAAGCCAGGGTGAGCTCAGTCCACCGACATTTAGCTGATAAATCAGAATCAGGGTTTTGGACTGCCAAGTAGACCCTCTCAGATAGGGAATTTGCCTCGGTATATTGGTGCATAAAACTACAGCTAGTAAGAGGTTGTGTTCGGGGGAAACACTGAGTGCATTGTATGGACAAACTGGTATGCACTCAGCTGTTTGCCAGTGGAGATGTTTTTTAGATATACTCAACAGAATATGACAGTGAGGACCAATTGAAGCCACAGAGAGCCTCACTGATTGGTGTCAGCCTCTTAGCTCTGATGCTCATGACACCGAGAGATGTAATGGTGTGGGCTCACCTGATGAGCATCCAGATCGATGATGGTAGCCTTGGAGACGCCCTCCACTCTCTCAAACAGAAACTGGAAAATAAACGTTAAAAAAACATTTGATTTATCTTTGGAATCCCAGAACAATAATGTGAATATGTCATCCTTTAAGATAAACCTGTAATATCGTGGTGAATTTAATTTGTGCATACAGAAGCAAATACATTTGCATAATCAGCTTTTCAATACTTACTTTTTAGGTTGGAAGCAGTTATCAATCTTACTTAAACAGGTTACAGCTTCATGTTGACATTTCACTCTTTCTTTACCATAAAACTCTGACTTTTAAGATCGTTTACAAACCAGAACATCCAGAAGATTATTGGTAATTTGCAGCAGTTGTTTATAACTATCAACAGGTACGATGCTCTGTTCACAGCAACCTAACTACAAGATCCTATGTTTGCATTTTCCCAGGCGACATTTACTTGGTAGTATTTCCTTTTCCAGATAAAATCAAGCAGGAGGATATCTTTCAGAGACAACTTGGTAAGAACAGGCAGTGTCATGAATGGGAAAGTATAGAAGGACATTTAAGGATCAAATGTTAGCCTAGGTTTGCCGCTCTTTCCCATAAACAGATCATTTGTCTAAGTTTTTAGTGACACCATTCACTCAGGTACAACATTTACACAGAGATAAACCAATGGGGATAACCTTAAGTAGATTCAATGTATTTTATGAAATACATAGCACAATTTATTAAGCCAAAGGAAATAAGGCAGTATAACGTAGTTCTTTTGGAGTTTGTGTGTTGATGACTCTGTAATATCCCTTTTACACAAACTATTCAAGATGGGACTGTATGTGTATGTGAAGGTCCCTGTTTATCGACATGTAGCTCCTCTTTTGCCTATGCACAACGCCAGAACCCTGTGTGTGTGATTTTACTAACCGACAGCACGCTTATGTTCACTGTAAATGTATAAAGGCAGAATAACGGCAGAGTTAGTTCCTGTGCTGTCGCTGACTCTCTGTGTAAAGGAGCTACAGATTGTTTTGGTTGGCTCATTGGTCAGGAATCTATTCAGGCTTTTTTTTTTCTTCAACTTTCCATGCCAATGCCATTTTGGTAGTTTTAGCACGTTTCCCGTTGTTAACAACCATCAGATTATTACAGAATGAGGCATCAATCGATCCAGGAAACATCTTCTCATATCTTTGATCTGAATGTGTTGTATTTGGCCTGTTACAGAAAAACAACTTAAATAACAGACTTCAAGCTTTTCTGATACATGTTTCGGCTGATTTTATATTGGCAAAGTAACTTCTAGCAATTTCCCTACAGTTTTTCATTTTGTTAAAAAAAAAAAAAAAAAAAAAGTATTGCTCTGAATGTCTTTGGACCATTTAATTTTTGTTTCCAATTCCAACGAAGCAGCAGTTAACTGTTTGAGTGACTGTTTCTACATTGTGCTTGACCTCTGGCTTACCTTGATGGCCAGAGTGATGTCGGCGTAGGCACAGAAGCCCCCTCCCTTGTCCCCGGAGCAGTGGTGGAAGCCTCCTCCTGGGAAACAGAAAATCCACTGGCTCAGTGTAAGGGACATTAGACACGCAGAGCAGGTCCGATCACACGATTATTCTAAACGGCCATAACGGGCAACTTGAAATAGGCTGTTATTGAGTTTATTGCAGTTTATAAAAATGTCTGCTGTTCCCCTGTGGTACAACAATGGCTGTGCTGACACCAGAATTGGCCCATTCAGTGGCTCCTTAAATGCTTGGAGAGCGATGTACAGCGATGGAGGGAACGACTGTGAGGAGACTTTTTTTTTTATTTAAATAGGGATGATAACCATTAATTCAGGTTAAGAGTTATTGTCCCCTCTGCCCCGCTTTGCTCATGTTCATTAAACTATAGTGTAGAGTAGAATATTAATAAAGGCCAGAAAGGAAACCGGTGAAATATGATTATCATTTATTGCCTGGCTTGCAAAAAACACCCTTTCCAAAGCCTCAGCGTCCTCGCTGTGCGGAGACACACAGTATGCAGATGTCACAAGCATTTGAATAGCCTTTATATCTATATTAAAATCATGTTTATTGATGCAGAACAATCTGTCCCACAGATTCTACAACATGCCGTGTGAGGAAGCTGAGTAAGCAGAAAGGTACAAAGTAAAAAGTCTGATGCAGCGTTTTTTTTTTTGTTTCCTGCTTGGCACTAGCTGGAGGTGTGAAGGATGACCCTGGCTTTTCAGCCTAAGACCCTAATGTTCTCTCAGTCTTATCACTGATGGCGGGAAGTCAGAAGGAGATGTATCATTTTTCTCAGGATAAGGATCTCATTGGGAAGGACAAAATATTGTAAGCCCAGACTCTGTAAGTATAGGCGTTACCCTCGAAGAGCTGTCACTACCGGGGTTTATCAACAAAAGCTTGACGCAAATCCCCGAAATAATAAGTAATAGATGGTATGTTCATAAGTCTTCAGTTCAGTTTTGTGGAGATGCAGGTCGTTTCAGACGGTTGGTCGGTCGTTGTGTAGAACTAAAAAGACTGAAGTGAGAATGTTTTCTTGTAGGACGAAACAGTTCTGGATTTAGTTTGATTTTCTGGACATAATATGCAGTTAAACAAGTTAAATCTCAATATATTGTATCGTAATTCTCAGCAAATCGCTTAATGTTTTAAGCGATCTGACTGACACACTAACAGTAACAGGTAACTCATGTTTTCCAATAGAGTGGAGAGGGATTGTTTTTGTGTTTTTTTTATCATTTATGGGTATCTGTACTAGGTAGGAACTCACCTACATTTATGGCCCATCCTTTATCAACAGCCAGTTTTCCTGCCTGTGAAAGACAAAACATTACAGTTCATTTTTCAACACCAACATAGAAATGTATGAATATGACCTTTTCTGAACGAAATATAATCCCAAATCTAAAAAAAGGTAAATGACCTTTTCCAAATAAACACAAAAATGCAGAAAAATAATGATCCAGCAGCTTTTGTCACATTAGAAATCTGTCTCCAGGTAATGACTTCAATTACAGCTTTTCAGTGCAGGGCCCATATCACGATATAATTCTCTATATGCTGAATGTAACAACCTACGCTACTGTTAGATTTTCACATTAGTAAATCTGACCTTAAACCATGTGTGTGAGTTTAAAGCCTTTAAATTTACATACTAACATTTAGAGACATTAAAGGATTCCTCCCGGTGATCTTGGGTTGTTCCTGTGAAACAGCTGTTTAGTTAAAACATTAACATTTGAGTGTATTCCCTGATCTATAGGTAAAGAAACGCTTACTCCCAAGCTGAGCTCAAACCAGTGGTTTATAATTAAAAGGTCATGGCTGTCAAATTACAGCCAATGTGTTGCTTTACAAGTCGTGTCAAAGTGTCACAGGAGAAGACAAATGAACCCATACAACCCCTATATTACTAAGAGTCAATGAAATGCTACAAGGTAGACGGTAAAGGGCATAGCACGTTTCTAGTCTTCTAACTACTAAAAGCGCTTTTACACCGCAGGTCACACCTACACATTCAGACTCACACTGATGGCAGAGGCTGTTATGTTAAGTGTCCGTTGGTATTAACTAATCCTGTCGCTGATGAACCTGCAGGAGCAACATGGGGTTAAGTGTCTTGCCTAAGGACACATCGAACATGCGGCTGCAGGAGCTGGGGATCAAATCCCCAATCATCCGCTTGTCACACCTCTGACTCTACCAACCGAGCCACAGCCGCCTCGTAGTGGCATATTCCCTGCTCATACAAACATAATCCCTCTCAATCATCTCCTATGACTAATGTTGAGTCAAATTCCTTTCAGATTTGATTGGTTATAAAAAAAAATAAGACAGATGAAAAAATGTATTGTTTAATTCTAAGCAAAGAAGCTTTTGAATCCCCCCCAAAATTCAATTAATATCACCTTTGGAATCACCATTTACTTTGTGGTAAGATGTAGAAATCTACAAAGGTTGGTTCTTCTTATTTTGCCGTGTTTACTTTTTGAATCTGGGATGTGCCATGAACCCCCCCATCCCCCGATATCAATATCAGCAACCAGAGGCTGAGCAGTTCAAATCAAAAAAGCAGGGAACATATTACAAATCTGTCAGCTAGTACTGTAAAACATGCACAGCTGTAAAGGGCTGATAGGTAAACCGCTGTTAATCAAGACATTATGTAACTCTACACAGAACACAGATTTCTTTCACCCATCAGAGAAGCAAGACATTTTGCTATTCCAATGCCACCAATGAACAAATCTGTTTAAATGTAAACGTGTCTGGAGCAGAAAACTCACCTATGCATTGAGCGTGTGTGGTTGTAGACATTCTGACTTTACCTCAAGGAATCATTCAGTTCACATATATATGCTAAACCTACTCCTGAGAGCATTATTACTGAGAAAACAGAGACGTGCAGGGTTTGTCTCACACGATGATCAACTTCATCTTGTGCATGGCCACGCATGAGGAGGATGTTATTTGAGGCTGGCCACTCCACTGGCTCATCCTCTATAGAAACCACTGAGGGCTTACCTAGGTAGTAGTTATCTAGGGATAAAATCTCAAAATATTGTAAGTGCTTCACAGCTCCAAAAGACTGTAACATACTTTTTTTTTTTTACACTGCGTAGAAAGTGAAAGGCACAGCGGTATGGCGCCTCTTTCCGAGGCAGGTCAAGATTTTCTTTCAAGGGTGAAAACGGAGGCTTCACTGTGTTCTACTCCTGGAGCTAAGCTTGTAGGACTCCTGATGTGAGGAGAGATATGAGAATGGAAGATTGTGTGCAAATGCCAATATGGCTCTCTGATGGATGAGTAATAACACATTAGCATGTGTGCACACACTCGGGCCAGGGCTCTAACACTCTTCTCTGTGTCTGGAAAACAAGCACTTAAGAGTAAGCAGTGAGAGTGCCAGGGACATTCTACTATAGCCCTCTAATTGGATCTCCTCGACTCCATCAAACCATCAGACTCAGAGTAAAAAGACCGTTTTGTAAGACGCTAGCTCTAACATTGTTAGTATTTGGATCAAATAGATGGAGAGCAAACACCACACTGTGACATTTTCCGTTTGCCACTGCATGAGCTTTCTGTTGATCGCTTATGCCTCTTTTTCTGTTTTCTACAACAATTTAAGCAAAAGTGGCTCTCAGTTTCTCCTCATGTTCATCTGAAAATGAAGTAAACTGCTTTACAGGAGTACAAATTGAAACAAGAGATTTTGTAGGAGGAAGCTCACAAACTTTTCCTCAATCCAGACATTACATGTAAGAGATGTAGATTAAGTCAACTAAAATTTGTATTGTTTTCTAAATGAGATAAGAGAAATGTGCTGTGCCTCTTACATAAAGAATTTAAACGTATTTGAAAGAAAAATGTGGAAAAGAAACCAATATATCTACTAAGGTATTCAAAATGTTCAATACTTCGACCTTGAAATTTGTATTTATTGATTTATAAAAAACATATATTGTATATTAAAATATATTGAGCAAAGTCATCCGTTGTGCAGAAAAATGTCAAAAGCCTAAATGTGGTCTAAACTGGATGTTTACTTGCAACACAGTAGAGAAACTATGACATGATGGAAAACAAATTGATTTTAGCAAAAAGCTGTGTGTGTTTTGGATGTCCGGGGTCGCCAGGGTTTTGTGAAGTAAAAGTGCCAGTGTCACGAGTTGGGAACCACTTGTCTAAAGTTATCAAATGTATTGGCAATGTTTCAAAACATCAATGTACTTTTGCAGTTTAGACATTGTGCAGAAATGTTCTGTAATTCAAACCAAGAAATTACCAAACATAGCGTGTTTAGGACTAGTTGTTGCCATGGTATAAAAACAGGTATGCAAATTGTTAGATTTTTACTAGTTTCAAATAAAAGTTTATGATCTGTACGTCTTACAGCAAAGTACAGCTAGTGGATTACACTGTGAGCAGCCCCCCCCCAAATTCTCTTTACTGTTTTACTGTGGCTAAAAAGGAAGATTGATCATTTCATTGGACGACTGGTGGTTCAATCCTTGTTTGTTGTTTCCGCTGGGAAGTTTTATAAGGAAAGACTCACAACACACAAGTTGTAGTGTCCTTGTACCTTTGTTCAGGATAGAGTAAAAACTGTACATAGCTGTGTAGGGTTTCATCCTTTTAAGTCTTTAAAGTACTAGAAAACTTGTTTAAAAGGAGGCACAGCACACTTTCTCCTGTAGAGAGGTACATTCAGTTGTGTTCACTTGTTCACCTTATCTGGGCAAACATGTTGGAGTGTGTGTATGAGTACCACAACAGTACATGATGAGCCATTGGTGAATGAAGGTGTGTTTGAATAGCATATAGTGTTGAGAGCGTTGAGAGAGTGAAAGACTTTAAAAAGGTGCTATAAGTGGAGTCCTATTACCCTTCACTCCAGGGCTCAGTACTGGGCCCTCTAATGTTCTTTCTTTAGTATTTTCTCTTGACTCAGCCATTGTACATGGACTCTCATTCTTCTGCTGACACAATTTCAGCTAGGAAGGGTTTAGCTCTCTAACTTCAACCTGTATCACAATGTCACGTTAGTTCTGGCGGCTCTTTGCGCCTGAGAATTACACTCTACAAGAGTACCTCTATTCAGTGTACTTCCACCTGCCCCATCCTGTGTCTGATCCTTTGTCAATTTGTATTTCACATGACTTATCATCAGTGTTGGATGTAGTGCGTTACAAACTAACATATTACTGTAGCTCCACTACTATTTGCATAACTAGTAGTGCATTACTTTTCAAAATTCTATAATGCTGCTAAAGTATAGACATTCATAATGACTTGTTACTACACAGGATTAAAATGCATTAACGACATGTTTGGACTAAAACAGTTGCCAGAGAGCCCGGTGCTGCAAACACTGGTGAAGGAGGGGCGGATCATTTTAGCTCAGCAGACCAAAATAGGAGCCACTCTATCCAAAAAAGCCAAGGCTTGATTTTAAATCCCCACCATAGCTCCACAATCTGTAAGCTTTGACTAAAAAGACTGATTGTCAGAAATGTTGTTGAAGAGGGGCGCTGGTGGCACAGTGGTTAGTAGTTTAGATTCTGTTCCTGAATGGTTTGTTTTTGTTTTGACCAGAGAAGTAAGCGGCACCCCCACACGGCCGTTTTGCCCCGTGCCCCTTTAATTTTCCTGGCAAACACCAAACTAACAGGTGTTGCAGCGAGAGATTGCCTCCCATGATTCCTCGCCAGCCTCAATGTCATCTTCTGTTATTGTTTTGATTGAGAGAAAATATAGGCTTACAAATGGATAATGGAAGTGCAACAGGAAAGGTTGAGAGTATGACACTGAGATCGTAAATCTGTTTTTCTTGAAAATCTTTTAAAGTTCTGTATAAATGATAAATCATTCATGTTTTTTTATGCTGCTGAGGTTCTGCATGTGTGATCTGTGATGCACCATAGGGATGGTATTATCTGATAAAGGTTACAGAGACAGTAGTCGATCACTCCATTATTTGATAGTACTACACTGCAGATCATTATCTGGATTTCTCTCCTTTGACAAACGATGCTACATAGCAAGAAGATGGGTAAAATATGTTAATATTATCAGCTACAGGCAAACACATAAAAAAAAAAAAAAAAAAGGAAATGAAGCTCGGGAGATTTCCTACCATTATTGTTCCTCCAGTCTGTGTCCGCAACGGCCTCAACACTCTCCGCTGCACCAGGAAATTAGGCAGCAACATGAGGGGTGGGATTTCTGTGATGGTTGCCACCACAAAAGACCACTAAAGTGAAAAAGAGAGCGATTAGACCCAGCGTGTAGAGGCCTTTTCTGTGAGCTTGTAGGGCAAACAAAAATCACAGAGGGAAACCCACACAGGTAAGAGAAACATTTTAACATGCACCCAGCAGAGTTTGGATGTTAAGACGTTAAAGAGGTGACTAAAGAAAGAGATAACCACGCTGTCAGTGGGCAGGCTTGAGCCTCTATTCTCATGCAATTTAACTGCACAGAATAATTCAAATACACAACAGAGAACTGGGAGACTTCTCCAGGGCCCTCTGACAAATAGCTCTGTATGCAGTAGAGCAAAGAGAGAATAAATAAGCTGCAGAGTCTAAGAACATGATGTTAAGGACTGTTATCAGTTCATCACTTTCTGCAACACTCCCTTTATGAGAGATTTCAACAACGTCTCACTTTTTGTTCAAATCACTGAGGTTATAAAATATGCTGATGTCAGAGTGAGCTGGTGCCTGGAACTAGTGTCGTAGTCAAGACCACACTAAACCAGTCCAAGACACACCCGAGACCAGTGTGCTCAGAGACCAACATTTAGGGGTTGAGACCGAGTCAAGACCAAGACCAAGGCAGGGCTAGAAAGAGTAGACCAAGACCATATCACTGACAAATCATCATCTTGTGTGCAGGGTGCGTGTCACTCACTTAGACTGTGACACCAGGGAGGTTGCAGATCGTAACCGGGGGTAAAACAAATCAAACTATGTATGACTTTAAGTTATTTGCTCTTTTAAGAAAGAGGCGTTTGCCTTCTGATCACAGTGATGATGTGGAAAAATAGCCTGCCAGTCGTGGTTCTTGATCTGGTCTTGATTTAAAATCTGGAGTCCGCCCAGTCCGAGACCGAAAAAAGACCGACGCAAAATACTTTTGATCCCGAGACGGGATCGAGACCTTCAAAAGGGGTTGTGCCCATGAGTTCTACTTTGAAGGGTAGGAATAAAAAAAAGTAATAAACTCAACTTAAAAGGCAAATAAGCTCTTAGCGACTGAAATTAAAGAGCTGCTGTCTTCTGAATATGGTCAACATGATTGATTTGAATGAGGGTCTAATTCCCCTGATGGATTCCCCCGCATTTCAATGAGAACTCTATACTGTTGTTTATCATGGCTCCTCGGGTGCTCTGTGACCTTGGTGGTTCTACTTGCAGTATCAGGTTTTGTAACACACGGAGCATCTACGCCCTTTCTTAAATCTTCACTCGGACAAACAGTCTTTGTTGTTCAGGGGATCAAAATGTGGAACGTCTGACCTGCAGAGGGAAACTCAAACTCAAACCGTTTTTAAAGAGGACTCAGTCTGTAGTCATGCATGATCTTGTGCTTCATGTTTGACTTTGTTTTATAGTAGGATATGTTGCATCCTGTTCTGACTTTTGATTTATGAACTTGTTGATTTTTGAGTATTTTAAAGGCCCATTTAGGGAAGGCATTACAAACTAGCTTAGGCTATATTCATGCTGTAGTGTGTCGCATTAGTTTTCTTTTTTCTTATGTCCTTATACAAATAAAAGTTACACTTGATTGATACATAAATAAACAATGCCATAGCAGGCAAATGCCAAATTCAAAAATTATTTACCCGTTTGGATTGAATTCCAAGTAACATTTCATCATAATAATAAATCACTTAGAAAGTCCTGATGGATTTCTCTCCGCCTGAGTACTACGGAGTGATGCATAGAAAACAAAGAGACGGTGAAGAAACAGGAAAGACCTGTCATGAATGGCATGCTATCTTAACAAGCGATGAAGTGAAGGTTGGCAGTGTAAAGAGAAAACAAAGAGACCTTTAATCTGTTGAGGTAGCCTTTGGTGTGAGCCACCAGCAGGTCCTCTTCTGTAGCTTCACGCGCTTCCACCAGGTTCCCGTCAGTGATGAACTCCTCCTCTGAAAGAGAGGCAGTGTGTGTGATGACAGTCACAATCACTCCTGTGAAGACTGATGATGAGCTTACATGGAAACCCTCAATTTCTGGAAAATAAACCTTGATACACAAGAAAATGTGGAAGGTAAAAGAAGAGTTACATTCAAACATCCAGGTAGGATTTATTTTTCAACAGTATCAGCTACTGTGTCTCGTGGAGTTTAACTTAAGCAGAACATGTTCTCTGTTTGCACGTAGTTGGTTCTGTTCACTCGAATTCTGCCGCCGAATCAAGTAGCCATCAGCAACAAACTCACTGGCATGAATGTCCAAAAAAGAGAAACTCTGTCTGAAGTTGCGCTTGACCAACACATTCAAATTGTATTTATTTGTAATAATATCTGTAATTTAGGATATAGGACTTTGCAGTACAGAAATGAAGGCTACATGTCTCTGTTACATTGTTTAACCAGCAGGGGGCACTGACAAGTTCACTTTTTAACAATTAAATGACAGAACTGTCAGCGCCACTTTCTTAAAATTATCAACAGTCAAATTTAAGGGCACTTTTTTCAGACTGTGAATGATATAATCGGAGATAAGTATTTAACTAGCCTCCATTAATAATAATAATTAGGAATTTGTCTTCATCAGACCTGACTTTTGTTTTGAGTATCATCGCCTTATTCAGTCCTCTATTTACACATTTGTGTAATGACAGAATTCTCTTTTGTTTTTTCATTCCAAGTCTAAATTATGGATAACTTGGTATAAAAATAATCTGTCAGAAAATACAGCAACACATTCATTAGAACAGAGTGTTTTCTGGTCAATTTGATATTTACAGGTGTATTTAAAAGGTAAGAAATATCAAAGTCACTCATATCAATCACACCCCTTTGTAACAGTGTATGAATATCAGAGTATATTGTGCTCCTGTTAAAAATGTGATACATTGATATATTGCAATACGTTTTCTATTATCATCAACATATATAACCAGGCCAATGGCCATTCAAACCCCTGCACTATGCGTGGACATCACAGGGTAGATCATGATAGGATACCACATGTGGTGCATGGCCAATAACAACAACGACATCCTGAAACAGCGATTCTGCGTTTACTGATACATTGCAAGTCACTAATAAAACTGAAAATTAAAACGATGTTTAACTGTTCATGTTAGCCTCATTCATGTCAGAAGCACCACAGTAAGGGAGTCATGAAGTAGTGACACGGTGACTCACTAATGCGCCTTAAACGATGGTTGCCACCCAACATTAAAGAGAAGAAGAAAAAGACGACCAACAGCCAATCATGTTGCAGGGATATGGGACGAAATGAGAAGCTGAGCGATAACAAAAGGCCGCTGAACTTCCGGAGTTTGGAGATATTTTAGCTATTTGCAGTCCAATAAAAAAAAGGAACGTGCACTTTGATCAACACTGACATTTATCGTGATAATTATCTACATATCAAATTATATGAAATTTCATGAAGTCATACCGCTCAGGTCTAATTGCCCTATCGATATTTTGTCCCACCCCTACCCTGCACTATACACTATAATTGGCACCTCATTGCATTAAATTGCAGTAAAAAATGTGACCCTGCTATGAGACTTTGTCAGCCCTGAACTTTCCAAGTTGCATTTAAGTAGCGTTCAGCATAACAACTTTGTTTTAACATGCTGTAAATAAGTTTAAATGTCAGAATCACAAAAAGTTAATTATTACTTTAAGTAGATGCCCATGTTTTTATCTTGGACCACAGAAAGTTAGAACGTCTGATTTTTCAGTTCAATCACTCAGACTGCGGATTCAAAAAACTGCCTCTGACTTGAAAAAGGACAAAGTAAAATCTGAAAATCAACTTCCTTTGGAGGATTTTCCAAATATGCTGGCTACATATGCTATACAATCCACTGTCACAGCATTTTCTGCTAGTGTAAATAAAAATAAATCAAAAGTTTTTTCTCTGTCAGCAGGAACTCAGTTCTTCTTTTGCACTCTGAACTTCTCAAAGTTTGTGAATTCATTAAGCTGTGCAGGGAACTTTTAATGCAAAGACAATCAACGATGCAATTTGACAACAACTTCATGTGAAGTGGTGCCAGTTAGCAAGTCACTGTTTTCCCTTGGCCTTGGAACCTGTGCTTGGCCTCATCTCCTGTACCTGAAAAGACTCCCACAGGGAGTTTTCTCTAATTATCTGTGCTCTATTGCTCTGAATTTCCCCTCTTCAGCTTCTGTTTCTCACCTCTCTACCTCTCTCATCTCTACCTCTCTTTGCCTCTTTGATGCACCCTGAGTGATTCCATATACATCAGCTCGGGGAAATGTCCTCCCTATCTACCACTCTGTTTTCTCATTCTCTTACCTTTCAAGAAGTGAATGACTTTCCCCCACTTCCCTGCATCAAATGGATGGAGCTTTTCAAGGCCCATGAAGGTGATGTTGTAGTCAGGGTGGTACACAATGGGCAGACATGTTCCAGGGATGCTGGTGTACAATTCAGTGCGGTGAGGGCTGAAGGAAGACGGTCAAAGAGGTGTTAAATCGAATGCTGCTGCATTACATTTACATGAAATGATTTCCCAGTGGCTTATACTCTATGGTATTGTTGGAACCGTCTTGGTTTTTATTGGTTCGGCTTACCTCTTTTTGCCTTCATTATCTTCTTTGTGAGACATGTTTTTCAGGCATTCCTTTTTTCATCTGGGGGGAAAAGCGAAGAATATTAACTAATATTTCAATGAATTCACTTGCAGTTAATGTTTACAGTTAGTCTAAAATGATCAAACACATGACACAGAATAAGATATCTATTTAATACTTTTAACCTGGTGTACCAAAATCTAATTTAATAAATGTCTTTACAGAAGCAAAGATGGAGGCTTAGGCAGATATTCCACTGAATTCCACTTCTAATGGTAAATGGACTTGAGCTTGTATCACGCTTTTCTAGTCTTCTGACTACTCAAAGCACTTTTACACCACAGGTCACACCTGCACATTCACACACTGATGGCAGAGGCTGCTCTGTAGTGGGACCATCAGAAATAACTAATCCCATTCATACACAGCTGACGACGAAGCAGCGGGAGCAACTTGGGGTTAAGTGTCGTGTCACACCCAACATGTGGCTGCAGAAGCTGGGGATCGAACCCCCCCCTACTTTCCAGTTGACAGACGACCAACTCGACCACTGATCCACAGCCACCCCTCCGCAGATGGGACGTATTTTCTCTGCTCTCAACGCAGCTTCAAACCACACACAGAGTAACCAGTTCAACTCTTTTCTCAATTATTGCTGATTTGATTAATTTACGTGAACTTGTACGTTTACTAAAACTGTTGAAAGTTGACTTTGTGTGGTTCTATAGAGCAGGCAAAGAGGGCCATGTTCTAAATGGTAAATGGACGGTTGATCTCATGTTGCAGTGTCTAAGTAGACATAGCCTTATCATTGATAAGCTAATGTAAGTTGGACTGGCATTTTGCATAGCGGCCTCTGCCACTCAGTTTATAAAAAGAGTCTGAAAAAATAATGCATCATAAAGAGCACATGCTTAATCCACTTAATATTTTCAGTCTGCAAAAGGCTATTTCTGCACCTGACTTCCTGCTCGCTCAACTGCTATGTGCAACTTTACACAGGCATAAAGAGTAGAAGCAAAGTGATATTGGAGCATAGCAAAGAGCAGCAGTTTCTCTGGTAAAATCTCATGCATTATGTGGAGTGCTGTAGGTATATAGTTTTGAATGTTGCAGCCTTGTCTGAAGTCTTCAACCAGAAGACACAGCGACTTTTTAGAGATTAGGTCTGGATTAAAGACAGCTGCGGATCAACCCTGTAGACAATGTGATTTGTTTGACTCTGAATTCCATGATGTATGACTTTGTTTGCCAAAGCATTCTCAGCGACATCACTGCCATTTCCTACCACGGTGAAAAACAGATGACTTATTAAAATGTATCACTAAAAAAAGTTTAATATTTGACTCCAATCAACCATCTTGTTAAAAAAAAATATACATTAGAGTGTATATGTCATAAAAACAAAGATTAATCTTTCTGACCTTTCCTGAGTAGTTCCTGAGTTTAAACCTGATGAATACAAAATAAAAAAAAGGTGTTTAGAATTCACCAAAATCCTGATTTAAACAAAAAAAAGAACCACAAGATCAATAAATAGAGAAGCAAATATATATATTGTTTGTTAAACAGGTAGGCCTCGTAAAGTAGGCAACAGAAAGGCTTTGCCAATGTTAAGTGTATTCTTGTTTTACTTTTACAAATGTGCATTCACAAACTCTATCACAAGTCTCCACAGCTGACAAAGCCGAATGACAGCTGACCCAGATGTGATCAGCTGCTGCCTTCAAGCAACGTAACCCACGTCGCTTCGCATAAAGCCAGTCCTGTGTCATTCCTGCAAAAAAAAAACAAAAAAAAAACACGGTACCTGCTTATCTTTCGGTTGCATTTCTACTCTACAAGACTCCCTGTTGAAATAAACAGACCCAAGTGCAAAACAAAAAAATTCACGCATGTGAGAGAATCAGATGCAATGTTAAGAGACTTTGGAACGCTACACACTTCCGCGCATGCGCAGTGACATGTAAACATTTCCAAAGACGCAACGGCATAAAGTGCTGTTTCCGTGGATTCATACAGCCTCCTTGCACTGTCTGTGGATGCTGTTCACAATCTTACTCAGCTAATTTCAGGGTTAAAGACACAAAGGTTCTCATGAGAGCTGTATCAGCCTGTTTTAAAGGACAGAAGCCAGACAAAGTCGATGTGACTCACCTGCTACTGTATGTGCAATAACGCTGGTCACAGAAAAACTGCTGGAAATAAAAACAATGACTGGAAAATATCACCGCGTTTCCCTCCACACAGGATTACGCTTAGGTTATTTGTCAGTATCAAGCCGATATACTATAAACGACGTTATTTTGACAGTGTTATCTCTACAGTGTCTTTATTTTCTTCCTGCTCCTTTCTTACGTAGATGATGCGTAAACCCCGTGTGATGCGTTCACAGCGCGCACGGAAATGTAAAGCACAAGAACCAGTCAATCTCATCAATCAATCTTTATTTGAATAGCGTAATAACAAAGTTTATCTCAAGACCCTTTACAAAAAAAACAGATAAAAGATCATACTCATTGATATATTATATTAGAAAAGAGCAGGAGAAAAACCTTACTTGTTGCTGCGTTACAAAAGAGCAGATTGAAAGACAGTACTCATTATTATGTGGATACAGACAAATCAGTTTGTGTTTAGATTAGTTTTATTTTTATTTTCAATTTGTCAACATTTGTTGTATTGCCTACTCTTAAAACTTTGGAGCAGTTCACAAAGTAGGCAAAAAAAAATCTGTGGAGGTCAATGCCTGAAAAAGTTACTCCACTATTTTATTGATTATTTGTATTTTGTTTTTCATGAAGGTAGCTACAGCTTGTATTCAAGGTCTGCTCAAACAATGTGGGCAAGGCTTTTACAACAAAAATGTCATGACTCAGAACAGCAGCTGTAATACTTTCAAGTGACACGGTAAGAAAGGTAACCAGTCACGCTGGTCTGAATGAGAAAAGTAGGTACTAATTATTTTTAATGTTTCATATTAAATTTGTCTTATGTTTGTGCTTTCTGATCTTTAAATCACTTTAATGTTCTGTCCTCTGTATACCGTCATTCACTAAGGGATTTGATTGCAAATGTTTTTGTGAATAAGGCACAAAGCATAAATATTCCTACATGACTGAAACTTAAATTAGTTCCAGTGATGAAGTATTAATGCTTACAGTTATATATATATATATATATATATATATATATATATACACACACACACACACATACACACACACACACACACACACACACACACACACACACACACACACATATATATTCTGTTGAGTACTTACATCACCTCAAATATTTCCAACAGTTATCAAAGCCAGAGAAATTATTAATTTAGTAGTAAACCGGACGTGTCTAGCCGTGTCGGTCACCGACACAGCAGTCGTGATGAACACGTCATGTTTATTGTTGCCATGCAACATCAGATGTTACTTCAAAGAACGCTATAAGGAAGCAGGAATTGCTACTGAAAGCTGTTAAATCATTCTTTACAACAACGTGGAGCTTGTTTACAATGGGGAGGGGGGGGACTAGCAGAGAGAACTCCTATGATTCCTCATGGCCTGTATTAGAAAACAATTCAAGTGCTGCTTGTAATTGTGAATATCCTAATCGACTGACTTCATAACATGACTTTCACCCATGCACATTGTCATTTTTCACAGAAGGATGGCATGAAAAGAGAATAAAAGGGAAATATTACTTTTAGTGCATCGCTTCAAATGTTCTCTGGGATCAATAAAGTTTAATCTATTGTGGATCTCCCACAGAGAATTCCCCTGAATGCTTTAGATATGTCTCTCAGCTCTCACATATCAAAATGAATCCACACATCCACACTGCAATGCAGCCACTGACAGGCGAGATGTTACCTGTAATTCCTGTGAATTGGGTGACTCTGTAATCCTGCCCATGAGCAGCCGCAGAGTAAGATGTCTATAAATAGCACAATATGTTAAAGCCTGAGCATGGTAATAGAGATGGTCTGACTCTGAGGTATTACCTCTCCACTGGGCTGGAAACTAAGAAAAATAACTGGCTGTAGAACTTTTCAGTGACCTTATGATCAGTGATGTATTTTTAGCTCATGTTCATTCTCTATACTTTTTTAAGACCACTTCATACAGTATAATTTAATCCTTTGATGTCTTATCTATCTTATCAAACTGTAGCTTTCACAAGCCTAGTATCACCAAGACTGGGGGATATTAAGAGAATCGAAATACTTAAAGGAAGAACGTGCAACTTTTTCATCCAGTAGAAGTCTCCCTTGAGCCCCAGTATGAAACCAAAACAAACTGCTCTTTGGTCACACCTGAGGCTTTTGGCGAGGCCGTCCACTCTCCTCCAGCCACACACCTCCAGCCCCCCTCCCCTCACCTTCGCACCAAGGAGTTATAATAATAATAATAATAATAATAACTTTATTTATATAGCACCTTTTAAAAACACAGGTTTACAAAGTGCTTTGACAAACAGCAAGAACAAAGCAAACTAAACCAAACACAGAAAAACATTAACAACAGTAAGAATATAACAGATGCAAAATACCAAAAATAATTAAAAACAATTCAACAGAAAAGAACCCAAAGTGCACGATACACAACCAGACATATATAACCCAACCATCATAAGAACCATCATAAGAACCCAGGAACACAAGAACCCAACAACATGAGCTGAGACCAAGAGGACCAAAGATTTAAAAAGATGTAAGAAACTAAGAGATAAAAGCAAATAAAAAGCAATGAGAAGGTAAGCGCAGTAAAAGAAATAAAATGGACTGCACCATGATTACGCACCATTAAGTGCACTGGCGGTCAAATTGTCCTCGGCTCTAGCTGCACTTGCCTGTGGCCTGCATTATTGTGTTAGCGGGCTAATGTTAGCACACTTTAGTTAGCTCGTATCTTCACATTGCATGTAAATTGATACTGAATGACTGTGATCTAAATACTCCTACGTGACATCTAATAAACAGTGAGTATGTTATTCTTTCTTTCTCTGTTCCTTGACTAAAACAGTTTTTACACTCAAAGGGAGGAGCCGGCCGTCCCGTCCATGTAAACATGATGTAAGCACGGCTTCGACAACAACACAGCCGGAGGGACTCAAGCTTCTCACTCATTGTAGACAGTCATGACTCAGAGAGACATTTACACAGGAGATACTTGATTTCTGATATATTTTAGTCTAAGTTGAGATCCATTCTTCCTTGAACTGTAGACCAGTAATAATGTGACCACAGCATATCTAAGTACTTTTAGTTTTAACCAGCTAAAGAAGTTTATTACGATGCAGGTGAGATAAAAAATGTAGCAGAAAGTTGGACATGTTATTTTTAATGGAATCATGTAAACAAATGCCAATGATACCTTGCTTACTCTTAAAAAAACATTTCTACATGCACAACTACCCACATGGTGAAATGCCACTTTGCTGTCATCTATATGTGAACAGTGTGATTAATGTATGCTGACGATACAGTTGTTTTAACTCATAGTAGAACTGCAGACGAAGGGTAATTAAAGGTAACATCCTGGCTTTATCAAAAACTACCTAGAATTAAATCATATCAAAAACAGTCTGCATGTTTTTCACTAAAGGCTGCAGTGTGGATTTTAGGCAACACGTTATTTTCTCAGGACAGACATTACATCAAACATTACACAACATTGTGCCAGAATACAAATACTTTTTAGGTGTTCATATTGATTCATACCTTGGCTTCAAAAACCCACATCCAAAAAGTCTGTGAAAAGTTCAGATCAGTTTGGCACATTTTTAATTTGTCCAAAACTCTCTATCAACCAATGCAGCTGAAATATACTGCACTTAATGATTCTCTCTCATATCACCTTTTGTCTGTTATGTTGGTCTAAACATACTCTACAGCACTTAAACCACTGGAATCAATACAAGCACTCAAAACTTCAGACAAACTATCATTCAGTTTTCATCAATGCCATATCCTTAAGTCCAACAGTGGTGTTGGGAAACCCTCATCAGATACAAAACTGTCTGCCTAGTTTACAGGATTCTTCCTGGTTTAGCTCCCCCTGCACTGATTGGCTTTATTAACTTCAAAATTGCCTCAAACAGGACAAGAGGTGCAGATACAAGGGACTGCACAATCCCACATTTAGCCAGGTTGTCTCTTCAGGGAATTTAATACTGCAATCAATTAGATTATCAACACCCTATTATACATTTAAATATAATGTTCAAAATGGTTTAATTGGGAACCAACAACACTTGAACTGGTTTACACTTGCACAAACGTATTCAACCTGCCACTTGTTATTTTTTATTTTTCTGTTTCACTGAGTGGATTGACACACCGAGGGCCAAACCTGACATGAATTAGATGGTCTGCTTGAGGCAATAAACACCTGACCAACAATACTGAGCATCTGTTACCATAGCAAGTGTGAAAGTATATATGACAGCCCAACATTCTGTTTAATATGAGCAAGAACAAATGAAACAGAGATCCTACTGCTGTAGGCCAGTTTGATATAAAAACACCATAAATAAAATCCCTGGGAAAAAAATACCATTAGAACATGATTTCATAAACACTCGTGTACTCGTGTAATGTTTGGATGTCTCCATATGGACCAAACAATCATGCCTTGCTGTTGATGAGAAATCGGCTTCCCACAAGTCTTCAGAGAAGTATATCCAGATCAAACAGTGTTTCCCATTTACACAGCTGAAGCCAGAAGGGGCAATTATCTTGTGCAGGGATTGAATATTTCTTAACAGTGATTCACAGGATTATTCCTCCGACAGAGGTGATTGTTTAAAGCAATCAACTGCCATGGACACATGCTTCAGGCTTTAGATAACACGTTCTACATTATTAGAGGAGAAAGGTATGATTGATGGAATGGTTTGGATGGTCTTAAAGCTAGCTAAGAATAACCTCTCTTTAAAAATACTTAAGTTAATATATCCAGGTATCGCTGTTTGTTCAGTTTTGGTTGTTGGCTTATCAACACCATGAGGAAAAGTTCTTTGTGACGTCAACATTAAGGCTTAAGGGATTGCACTGTTGGTCTGCTATTTCCACCGCCCCCTCCTCCATAGAGTCGATGTTTATGCAGGTTGCCATGTTGCAGACACAGAAGCTTCAGAGTTTAGCCAGCTCTGCATCGGTCTTGAAACCTTCATAGCACCTCCAATATTGATCCTAGTTTTACCACGTTTCTGCATTTGGAGATTTTTAGAAAATGTGGATGTTTTTTGGGACGGGTAGAATCAGTTATATATGAACCAATTTGCTAGCCTGCTTCATTCGCTTCAACACCTGTTGGTTTGCTGTTTGTCTGGCAAAACATCCAAAATTGCATGCATTGGGGGGCCTTAGAACC